TGACCTGTGACCCATTCGAATTAATATTATTGGTTTTTTACAAATTACAAGTTGAAATATATAGATCTTAACTTATTTTTACAAGTTAAGTTAGGATCGAGTTAACATGTCGAGTGAATTTTTACCAACTTTACATGAGCCTTTTGAATTCGAAGGTTGTCGGTCTCGCATTTCGTTATTGTGGTCCATTGATAACCACTGCAACCCAAAAAGTTGTCGGTAGATTGCACCCCGACCAGTGGTCGAATCTTACCAAATAGTAAGGTACTAATTTCTAACTCCTAACTATTACCCATATCAAAGGTTGTCAGTCCCTTGTTAAAGAAAAAGAAAATGTTTCAGTTTTGATTTTTTGAAACATAAAAATCCTTTATAAGTTAAAAATGTTGTTTAATTGTACGTCTAACATGTATTATATATTTTATAATTATTACTAAAAAAATTATCATTTCAATAATAAGAGATTTACTCTTTGTTAATGATTATAAAATATGTAACTTGAGTAAGATAAATAGAATCACTTTTCTTTTATAAATTTGTTTGGTTAGTGATGGTTTATAGTTAAGATAACGTTAGTAAAATTATATGAGAGGTAACTCAATCATATAGTGTTTAATAACGTGTTCAGTCGAAATTATAGATTTCATAAATAACAATATTCACATTGTCATTTTTATAAGAAATCAATTAGAACGCTTCCTAATCTTCTTACCATGGGATAGTCTGCCTTTGCCTCTGAAATCTCACACTTAATTTGTTCAGGCATCTAAGTAAAGAGAAGAAATTGCATTAGATTTTCATACTTATTTTATTCTTGAATGTCTCATGTCCAAATTTGGCAAAGTCCAAAATATTGCAAAATTGCATGTGAAAGCAAAGTAATGAGAGAGAGAGAGAGAGAGAGATGGGGGAACAGTTGCATTGTATGCCAAAGTTTTGTCGTGGTAGAAAGGGAGGAGAAGGGTAAATCATCATAAATGGGCAGCAAAGCTAGTGGATTTGGGTATGAGATGGGTAAACTGAAATGGGCTCGTATGGATCCAAACTTCAGCTAGGCAATAAGCTGCTAAGGTAAAAATCCATGCTCCGTAGGCAGAGGGAGCCAGTGGTTGAGACTTAAGAGGTAAAAGACTAAAAAAGGCCCAAGACCATTATTATTAATCAATTAATAAATGATGGCAAGCTTTTTGCACAACTTATTCTCTCAGCCCTAGAATTGAAAATGGGGTAGCAATAAAAATACAGTTTGGACAGTGAATTCTTTTTTGAAAAAAAATAATTCTACCAATTTTTATTTTTTTATTAGTGAGAAAGGCGTTGATGATAATTAATTAAATTATTAATAAAAAATATCCTTTTATTTGTGTAGTTAAAATTCAAACATTTTTATTTTACCTCATTTTTTTTTTACGGTAAGAAATATGATTAATAAGTTAGTATTTATTCAAATATCGATCGAAAAATTAACATAATAATCATATGTTACGTTTCATTTTGATTTTCATACAAAAAAATGTAATCACTTAAATTACATGAGAAAATATTTCCTCATCTTTTTTTTTTTTATAAAGGTTTTAATTAATTAATTTATTTTATGAAAAACGGTTTAAGTTGAAGAACAATTTAAGTTGAGAGCTCGTAAATGTCAAATTATCAATCAATTAGCCATTTTCCATATTGGTAACCCTCCACGCTGCAATTCATGATGCGTTGTTCATCCGATCTGAGTAAGAATATTGATTTTGACTTCATAATTGAAAATAAAAACACAAGAAATGACGAAGCCTAGAAAATTGAGAAAGACGAGGGTCACATGGGAGGGAGAGAGAGAGAGAGACACGCGCACACACACA